AAAGAAAAGAAAAAGTAGACAGCATAGGCAGAGTTTGATTTGGGGCTGAGCTTGCTCTGGAAGGTAAATTTTAGGACCTGGGACTAAATTCCCTTTCAGCGTCCCTACTCCACCTTCCATTAGGAAATCCTCGGCCAAAGCTCACGGAGCTCCTGAGACCCAGATGCCTGCCAGCCACAGCCAGGACTGCAGGCTCACTCCGAGAGCTCAGCGAGGGAGCAAGCCTGTCACTGTCCCAGCCTCTGAGGTCGCGCCCTCCTCTAAGGAGGCACTAGCCCAAGGACTGAGCCGGTCTCTTCCGCCAGCGCACCCCGCACTCCGGCGAGGCCACGCCTGCCTGTGTGATGAGCCCGTCCTGGGCAGTCGCTGTGACAGAGAAGGCGCAGGACTGAGCTGGGGTTGGGCGATGGCAGGATGGTCGTTGCCAGCCAAACTGCCCCTGGAGAACCTACTGTGGATGCTAACGAGACAGACACGGCTCGCTCCCCACCTTTGTACATCAGGACACAGACCGAGGGCAAAGGGACTCTCACGCTGAGTGGTAGGCGGACACACCGAGCTAAAGCAGACAGGGTTGCCCTTGCCAACCCCAACCCCGTACCTGCTGGCTGAAGTGGATGTCTCGCTTTTTCTAGGAGCCCCGCACCTTTCAGGTCACCGTCATGGGGTCAGGACGCTGGCTCACGCAGCTCTGGGTGGCTGTCGTCAGTCCCCTTCCATGGAGCAGCTTCTCCAGGCTGCGGCCGGCAGTGCAGGGGCTGGGACGCGAGCCCAAGTCGTGGGCCTGCACCTTGCCTGTTATGCGCCACTGCTGAAGCCACGAAAGAGGACACCGTTGAAGTAATAGCAAATAAAAGTATCGTGCAGTAGAAAGGATAATAGGGCGCATCAGCCTTACTCCTTCCCTGTCTCTTTCTACCGTTCTAAATAAGTCAATAGAACAGAAATCCACTGCACTAAGTAGCTCTTCAGCCTCTCCACAGAGGCTTCCTGGCAGGGAACAATTTTCCTCCTTTGTAATCTCTGCACTTTCATCTGCAAATCCTAAATCAGGCCAACTGATGAGATAATTAAACTCATCAGTTCGTATTTTAATTTCTTAACCTAACAGCATATGGGTTCTAATTATCATTCCTTTCAAAGTTCCTAAATTATAAGTAAGCTACATTCTATGAAACCCAAGAAAATTTTTCATATTTGAGAGCATCTCACAGCAGAATGGGGAAGACAACTCCTCCCATAAATCATGAGCTGTACTTTGTGCTATTGTTTTTAAAATAAATCTGATTTAAATTCTTATGTAAGACGAGAATGAGATTTCTCTCCCCACACCTTTTTAGATATCCTGTAATGCTTAGACACTTTGCATTTTTGTCCTCAATGATTTAAGTGCTCTAAAATGGATAGGTAGGCATTAAAACACTATTGATCTTTGTTATTTCTCTTCCCATGCACCTGAATAATACTCATTTGAAAAGCTCAGTCACAACATCAAACACCAGGACAAGGGCAGCACTGTGTTCTAGAAGCACTGAGCTTGCGGGCACCCTGGCTGTCCTCCCTCTCCTGGCCCCTGGCCTGCTGGGATGAGCGGGAGCTGCCATGGGGACTACGGTTGACAACGATCCTACCCAACCCAACAGGCCTGAGCCACCTCCCACAATGAGTGATGTGTGTCTCCTGCATTGTCTCAGAGGAGAAGTGGAAAGAAATGGAAGCTCATTTATGAGCTAGCTACATTACAACTTTGTCTTTGACTTCATTATGCAGAAAATGTATTTGCAAGGCAATTATTATCTATCTGTGCACTGAAATGAAAGATCTAATACCTAGCAGGCTAAGAAAGCTTTGAATACCTTAAGTTCTTTCCATCGGTAGGGAGGGAATATTATAGCCGTGGTTTTACTCACAGTAAGTTCCCTGCAAAGCTAATTCTTAAAAGATTTGCATGACATTCAACTCTGATTCCACAGCCAGCAGAGCCAGTCATACCTGGAGTATCTCTGAAATAAAGCGTTGGTTCCCCCGCTGAGGTCTCCTTTACAATTCCAATTTCAGCCGGAAAATCTTTGAAGAGATGATTGAACCATACCGGCTCCATGAAAGCTGCAAAGATTTAGCAACTGCTGAGAAATTAAAAAGAGAGACTCCATGGAAAATTACAGATGCAGAGCTGGACGCAGTCAAAGAAAAGGTAAGACTTGTCTTCCTTAATTTTTACTTGGCTATCTCATAGCAAAAAAAAAAAAAAAACTGGTTTATTCAAAGATCAAAAAGTAATGTATCTATTACTGAATTGCATTATTCAAGATCCAGAATCTGTATTTCCTTGAGTTTCTCAGTCATATTTCTAGATATGAAAGTTTAGAAAGCTGTGGGGTTTTTTTCCCAGAATGCAAACTATCTTTTAAAAGTTAAAAAAAAAAAAAGAATACCAGTTATTGGTTCACATGGTGAAGTCTCCGTTCAAACTTTATTTTTTTTAATCTAAAAATAATTCAAGCCCATGCATGTGCAATGAGACAAACATGGATGACCCACAATTTAATATAACAACAGAAATTTAAACCTGATGGGGGCCGGGGAGATAGCTCAGTAGGATAAGTGCTTGACTGGCAAACGCAAGGATCTGAGTTCAATCCCTGGTTCTGAAAATAAATAAATAAATAAATAAACCTGATGAAGTTAGGTGAGAGACTGACAGAAGTATCTAAGGGAATTTAAGATGTTTTTGGAACAACGATGGGAAAGTTGGATCCCTCTCCCCTGGAAGATAGACGCAAATGGGGAGCTGTCCTGGAACCCGCCAGGACAAGCATCTTTAACTTTGAATGAACTTGGTGACAAGGAAGATGGTGCAGATGGAGGACAGGCGCATGGGAGGAAAGAGAACTGATATCTAGGTTGGGCTGGATATTGCAGGAAAGGAACCACACGAATTTCTAACCTACGCAATCTAAGCAAACCACCATGGGAGCTAAACAAACTGCCCATCATCTTGGGAAAATTAGAGGAAGAAATGTAAAACCTTTTCCAGATTTAGTGGGAAAAAATTACTGCACTGGCATCATAGAGTCTGTGTGTGATAAATGGCCCCTTAGCCCCAGCAAAGACATGAATGAGAAAGTCTGTCCTTCCTCACTCTGTCCCCGCTCGCTTCCCAGCGGAGCCCTCTGCCTTCCTGAGTGCTGTGCTCTCTTGTTTTGCTCTTGAAGTTATACTTCGGGGCTCTCCTGTAAGGGGAGCCATGCAATGCTCAACCTTCTGTTTCTTTCACACAGCGTTACGATCTCCACATGCGCCAATAAATGGCTCAAATTCATTTTTCTTTATGGGGAGTAAGAGATAGATAGATAGATAGATAGATAGATAGATAGATAGATAGATAGATAGATACTCTAAGCAAGGCTACACATGTATCACTGTAATACGGTGACTAACTCTCCCAGGAAGATGCTTAGCTGGTTCAAATGCAATTTCTAGCTTTCACTTTTTGAGGAAGTTTCTTCCTAATTTCCATAGTCATGTAACAGTTTAGATTCCCACCAACAATCTGGAAAATGGTTTTCCAGGTCAATTTATTGGTAACTTTTTAAATTGAAATCAGTCCTCCATACTGATAAAATATTCAGAAGCCTGAAAAGAAAAATGGAGGAGGATGTGATCCACCTTCCTGGAATATCAAGTTAGTATCAGGCGTCCATCCATCCATTTTCTTTCGCCAAAAAGCTGTTCCCTCTTGGTGTTGTGATCCGCGCTGTTTGCTTTTCCCCTAAAATTAATGAAGGCCACTGGGACACAAGGCCAATCTGGCTTCATTTTTCACATTTCTAACATTTCTCAAGAAATGTGAAAATATTTTTTAAATTACATTATAACTATTTGTTAACAACTACTTTTCAAATGAGCTTTTCGGCTTGTGCACAACTTGAGGTCACAGGCGTTCGTGGTTGGGGTCCAGCAGCACTGATCTGTCTGGGTGTTCTCCACAGAGCTACCGCCAGGTTCGACTGAACGAGCTCTTACAGGAGCACTCGAGAGCCGCCAATCTCATCGTCCTGTAAGTAGCCTTGAAGGTGGCAGAGAGGAGCTTTGCGGTAAATGGGCTCATCAGTCTCAAAGCCCATGGCTCTTTAGGTGGGGAAGTTTCGGGGTTTTTTGTTCTGTTTTGTTTTAGCTTGCACCATGTGGCATTTTAGGCAGCAAATGAAGACCCTGACACTAGGGTCTCTGGGCTTCCAAGAGCCTCCCTTAGACTTCCTGCCAGTCATACCACACCCATGGGACCGGGGCCCTGCTCCCCTCCTGGACCAGGGCTCCTGTTCCAGGGACCTGAGACTCTGAGTTCCCTGCCACCAACCCCACATGGGCCTCAGGATTCACAGGCATTCCCTGGCCGACTCCTGAGTCATGGCAGACTCCTGAGATGCCTCTCCATGTGGGAAGAGGCCACCATGATAAAACCATGGTGGGTGTTTCCATTTCACATTTTACTCTTTGGCCCTACAGAGGATGGCTCCTGTAAATATTAATGTTCATTTAATCAAAGATTGTCAGGTAAACATGAATGAACCGCCTGCTACTTCTTCATCTCATGAGCTGATTCCTATGTGTGAAGACAGTATGTCATCAGGCCTGGCCTGGATCAAGGACCATCCACCTTAAATATTGCAGAATGATCTCCTCAGTGTGGTGGTAGAATTCCAGCAGCTGGTTCCTGAGTATTATAGTTTTAAACTATCAGGGGAAATTATTTTACCAAAGTTAAATAGTTCAAAAAGATAGATGCCTGTGAGATGTTTCACTTTGTTCTCTTTATTTGTCTTCCATATGACTAGGAGTCTTCCTGTGGCGAGAAAAGGGTCCATATCAGATTTGCTCTACATGGCTTGGCTAGAAATCCTCACCAAGAACCTCCCTCCTGTCTTGCTGGTTAGAGGAAATCACAAAAATGTGCTGACATTTTACTCCTAAGACACGACTGGGAAGAATACCTTTTAACTGGATGGATGAATAATTTTTAAAAAATCTTCTAGGGTCTGGGGAGATAGCTCAGTAGAATATGCACTTGCCTGGCAAGCACAAGGGCCTGAGTTCAATCCCCAGTTCTGAAAAAAAAAAATCTTCTAGTACTTAATGTTATAAAATCCAATCTATGGATATGCAAACCTCTGGAGACCTGAGCTTACCAGATTCTCCATAAGTTGTGTTTTTTTATTAGTTAACAGAAACTTTTCCCCCCTCTATCAACTAAAAGGAACATTTAAGCTAAGGCTACTACAAAAAAAAAAAAAAAGTCACTTTTGTCATTGCTGTTGGTAAATAAGAAATTTATCAAAGCCAAGCTGGCATGTGCATGTGAAAACCAGCATGGCGACTGTGAGCAGGCTTTCTCTTTTGTTTCTAATGGTATTTGCAGAGGAGCCCTGGCTCAGGCCGTGGCCCTCAGCAGGTCTCAGCAACTCTTCTTGACAGGCTGCTTCTACACCCCTGGGCAGCCATCAGAGGAAAAGACCAAGCAGGTAGGATGTGAGACCCAGCCTGCCACCTCCTAGAGGCCTGAGACCATGAAGAAGATTTAAAAATCAATAGGTGAGAACTTTAAGAATCACTGGAGCCTACAGCATGTATAAAGCAGCTAGCTAAATAGGGGTAATAGATAATATACTTCAAGAGATCAGAGTGATCGCTGATTGCACGCAGCTTAATTTGCCACAGACGGGAGGTTTATTAGCTGGGTCAGAAGGGAATGTATTCTAATTACAGTCATGCTTGGGTACTCAAATGCTTTGAAACGCCTCAAATTTGGTGCAAGATGCATTTGGATGCAAAAATTGTATCCCGGTATATTTTCACTTGTTTTGATGCCTGATGTCCAAGCTAGAATCTGTTGATGTCAGTGGCCTCGAGATCGCTGCCTTTTCCAAACAAAGCAGTTTGTTTGCTACTTGTTGCTTTTGATGCTTAGCACAGGGCTCAAGGCCAGTCAGCAATCCCATAGGCCATTTCTGACATCCACATAGGAAGTCAGCTCCACGCTGAATGTTCTGAAATTTCCCTCACATATAACTTTATATCTGTTTTTCTAATTAAGTGGTTAGTATAGATGAAATCTACATAGATGGGTAATTGGAAGCCAAGTATCACAAATTCTCAAAGCATGCCTAAGACACATATACCAAATCATATATTTAGTCTCTTTGTATCCTGATTACCTGGGCTTAAAAGAAAAATGAAAATGTGGAGAAATTTGCAAAATTCATAGGACCTACATATTGATTGTTTCATTTTTGTTCGTTTATCTGTAATACTTAATCACATGGACAAACCAACAAAAAATTGGTTTTTTGATAAATGGCCTGATTTTTCTTCTGCCATATTCTTCTGTTTTGAGAAAACATCTGGGGAAAATGAACTTGAAATAAAAGCCCTGAAATTGGTTTTCTTTGACCTCAGCCATGCCTTTGCCTCTGTGTTGCTACTTTGACTGTCATGAAGCGGCTCATCAACGGCGAGCCTGCACATTTCAGCCTGACCTTGACTGCGGCCTGTTTAGGGCTAAGTTCCAAAATTAGGATTTTTGGGCTGGGGAGACAGCTCAGCAGCATAAGCACCTGACTGGCATGTGCAACGTCCAGAGTTTGATCCCCAGTACCACAAAATATAAATAAAATAAAATCAAAATTAGGGGGCTGGGGAGACGGCTCAGTAGAATAAGCGCTTGCCTGGCAAGTGCAAGGGCCTGAGTTCAATTCCTGGTTCCACCAAAAAAAAAATTAGGATTGCTGGGCCAGCATGGTGGGTAGCACTCAGCAGGCTGAGGCAGGAAGATCACTTAAGTTCAAAGCCAACTTGGGCTGAACAGTGAGTCCACGCCTGGTGAACTACCTAGCAAGACCTTGCCTTAAACAAACAAAATTTGAGGGTTCCTGAGCCCAACCTCTGCTCAGAAGGAAGACTGGAGGAAAAATAAAGCTCAAGCTACTGGATACAAAGTGTCATTTTATATATTAGCCCTAGATCAGCATTCCCTTGAGCCCTGTATACTCAAAACTCAGATGACCAGTGACTTGGTGTCTCGGTTACTCTTCTCTTGTTGGGACAAATACCCAACATCCAAAATGAAGGAAGGGGGCTGGTGAGATGGCTCAGTGGTCTGAAGCACCTACTTAGAACAAGCTTAGCAAAGCACAGGGACCTGGTTCAATCCCCCAGCACCACATGCCAGCCAGCCCCGCCCCCTGGTGGGCTGAGCTGGCCACACACACCCACCCACACACACACACACACACACACACACACACACATACAAATAAATAATTAATAAAAAAAATGAAGGAAGGAAAGGTTTATATAGCTCGCAGTCAGTGGAGATTTCAGTCCACACTCAGCTGGCTCCAAGGAATCATGGCACATGGCAGAGGGCATCCTTTCATGGTGGTGGCAGAGAGCAAGAGAGCAGAAGCAGAAGCAGGGGCAACAATGGCAGCAGAGCGTAAGTCCGTCTCTCTCAAATTGCATTCAGGCTATCCAGCCCAGGCTGGGTGTAACACACCCATAATCCCAGCAGCACTCACACCCATGGATCATGAGTTAATTACACCTCTAGAAGTCTGCCTCATGACTGCATGAGGCATTAGGAGGACAACTACATACAAACCATAACATTCCACCCCAGACCCCCAGAGTCTCATGCACACCCCTTTGTGAAACAGGCATTTTAGTCCATCTCTAAAGAGTTGTCAAAATTCTAACAGTTTCAGTATTGCTGAAAAGTCCAAGTCCCAAGTCTCCTCCAAGATCTAAGGCAGACTCTTACCTGTGAGCCCCTGTACAAATCAAAAGTTAAACACGCTCAACATTCAATGGCATAAGACAAACATTAACATTCCAAAAGGTACACACATCAGAATACCAAGCACTGGGAGCAAAGCAAATCGAAAATCCAGAAGAGAAAACATTGTCAAAAAAAATAAAAGAAATAAAAGAAAAAAAAGAAAACATTGTCTTGTAGATCCTTGTGGAACATGCGAAGCAACCTGTGGCAAATTGTGAGCTCCATGTGACCACTCCTATGGCACTCTTGGTGGCAGTTCCCGTGGCTTCTTAGGCTGGCTTTGCTCCCTCCTTGCAGGTTCCCTTAGATGGTCCACATTCCAAGCTTTTCCAAACTTCTGGAGTTTCCACTGAGTAGGCTTCTCACTCACAGCTTTAAACACTGCCCTCTCAGGGGCACACTGCCTGGTTCTCCAGGCCTTCTCAAATCTAGGTGAAAGCCTTCTTAACCTCAGAGCTCCTGCATTCTGCAAGCACCTAAAACTAATGCCATGTGGATAATACCAAGGTCTGCTGCCAGCTGGAGCAGTAGCCAGGCTTCCTTCTTTCTTGGCTGTGGAGGTTGAGTGCCTGGATTGTCCCGAACCAGCGGGTCAGTCAACGAAGGTCACCTGGGAGAAGAGTGGGGAATTGAGGAGGGGACAAAGGACAGGAGACGTGAGAAATGGAGACAAGACAGGATTCTGATCAAGTCTCGTTTATTCAGGGGAGGTGCTGGGTATATATAGTGGAGGCATAGGGAAATGACGTTGGAGGGTAAAAGGTGCGAGTAACTAGGCAACCGGGCTATGACAGGAAGTCCCACCTCCGGGGCATAGCAGGAGACTTATGGGAAATAGGCGGGGTAAGAAGAATTAGGAGCTTAGCTCAGCAGAGGTAGGGGAAGAGGAAGTCAGTATCACTAATGACACTGATGCACCAAGAGCATTTTGTAGGTCAGAGGCACTCAGGTGACCATTAAGGGATATGTGGCACAGAGTCATGATGTGGCAGATTCACAGGATTTAGGAAAAGACTCACTTGCAACAGTATTGGAGGCCCGGAGATATTGTGCCTCCCACACTGGATTGCTGAGCACTCTGACCCTGATTCCAAGCAATAAATTCTCCATGCCAGTGCCATTCTGAAACCTGGTATGGCTGCTGCCAGCATGCTCGAACATGGGGCTCTGTGGCTTTTTCCTCAAGGCAAAGTCCGTGACCTCTGCAGTTCTGAGGCTGCAAAGGGTGGAGACCTGCTACCTGTGATGCCCTCAGGCTGTCCTTTCCATTCTCTGGTTCCTTCTTTGCTATGGAGATCCTCTCAGCTCTATCTTTTCATTCCACAGCTTTATTGGAGCTTCCTTTCTGCCAGTGTCACATTTTAAATCATCCTGCTGCATTCTTTGCTTTTGAGTCTCAACATAAATCTGACTAAAAGTCCCCAACAATAGCCATGCCACTGCCTCAATATTTGACTGCTTTGCGATTTCTTTTCAAAAATTAGTCAGTCTGCCATGCTTAATTCCATCTCAGGCAAAGTCTCTGAACATGAGCAAAATTCAGACAAACTTTCCGCCAATCCATAAAACAAATCATCTGGAGTCCAACAACCAACAAGGTGCTTCTTCCCAGCAGAAACCTCTCCAGCCTGGCCTTTACAGGCAGGATTTCCATCAGCCTTCTGGTCTGAGCTCTGAGCAGAATCTCCCATACAAAACAGCTAAAGCTGTTCCAGTGTTTCTTTTATAGGCAACATCTCCAAACCTTTCCTCTCTCTTCCCATAAGCCATCCCCAAAATCTTGTAATCCACATGGTCAGGTTTAGTCACAGCAGTGACCCTACTCCTCTGGTACCAAATTCTGTCTCAATTACTTTTCTATTGCTTCTGGGACAAATACTCAACACCCAAAATGAAGGAAGGAAAGGTTTATTTAGCTCACAGTCAGTGGAGGTTTCAGTCCATACTCCATTGGCTCCAAGGCAGAATGACACATGGCAGAGAGCAACTTTTCATGGCAGTGGCAAAGAGCAAGAGCAAAAGGGCAGGAGTAGGGGCAACAATGGCTACAGAGAGCAAGTCTGTCTCCCTTAGATTCATTCAGGTTATCTTTTCCAGGCTGGGTGTAATACTCACATCCATAATCCAGGCAGCACTTGCACCCATAATCCCAGCAGCACTCACACCCATAATCCCAGTGGATCATGAGTTAATCACAAAATCTAGAAGTCTGCCCCATGACTGCATGATGCTTTTGGGGGATGACTAAACACAAACCGTAACACCTAGGCATGACACTTCTCTGAGGTACTGCTGAGGTACTACTGAGGTACTGTGGGACAAGGGGAGAAGTAGCAGGCATTTTGCAGCCAGAAAACCAGCTCTGGCTTCTTGGCCCCACTCTTGTAGACTGGGTCCTTGTAGAAATGAAGAAGAGGTATAACTGCAGGAAGGGCCCTGGGGTGAAGGGCCTAGGGGTGGGGTGTGATGGGAGCTGTGCTGCAGGCCCAAAGGCAGGCTCACAGGGTTACTCTGAAGCTGGACTGTCTCCTCAGAGTGGCCCCAAGAGGCCTGTGTGCTGCATTGGAGTCTGTGGCCTTGGGTAGCTTTGTGGGTGGTGGCAATCCCTCAACCAGGGTTGAGAACAAGTCCTTTATCAAACAAGATCAGGAGAGGACATCACCATGCCTGCCAAAGGGGGCCATATGCAGGGTAATTTGCTCAGTGGGGGAAAAAGAGAGACAGACAGACAGACAGACAGACAGACACAGACAGACAGACAGAAACAGAGACAGGAGGAGGAAGAGGAGGAGGAAGAAGAAGAAGAGGAGGAGGAAGAAGAAGAAGAGAAGGAGGAGGAGGAGACGAGAGGAGAAGAGAAGAGACAGTCAGACTGCCCTAAGCCTTCCTCTCTATTTATGAGTCTGAATTTTCTGGGGTCTACTACCAAAAGAGTGATTTGCAGTGAGCTGAGACGTGGCTTCTCGGAGTTGGGTGGCAGTAAGGGACTGGAGACTGGTCAAGAGATCAAGAGGTGCTGTCTAGGGAGCAGGTCAGGGTGGCACAAACCTGAAAGATAGGGCTGTAGTCAGATCGCTGCAGGCTCTGGGAGCCCTCACGCCCCTGCCACCATCCTCAGCTTTGCTCCACTCTGTGTCCCTACACCCATCACCCCTGCAACTGCATTCGGGTTTGTGAGCATGGAGGAGGACATTCCAAAGTCCTGTGCAATGGTGTCTGATGTTCTCTCTGCTGGCTTCACATTAGCGTTGATACCAAAGTCCTAGGCCAGAGCCCCAGCTCAAGGGACCTGGATGGACCAAGCTCAGCCATTTTTCCCAATTAGTCCAATAGAGGGTGAGTGCTAAGCAAGCAGGAAAGGGTTTTTTAGTCTGGCCACACTGGAAAGGAACAGAGTACCAATGTCTTATACACTGTTTTCAGGACAATGACAAGAGCTTCTGGATTGTGTAAGGGAAGGGCAAGGCAGGGAGAAGTACATACTGTGGTCAAGCAGCCAGGTCAATCTGTGCTCCGGCTGCTGGTCAGCTCAAGTCTGTGTTTCTGGCACCGGGAAATCTTATTGCCACTTGAGGAGTGCGTTAGTCGGCTTTCCCACCCACGGGACAAAATATCTAA